CACAACTAGCTCAAAGGCAGGCTCCCTGTTTTCCTTCATTCCACCATTTCATTCACTCAAGCAGGTCTTGTATATGTAAGGACCTGTCTCAGGGCTGGGACGGTGAGCCAGACAACCATGTCTGCTTTGGTTCACTTCTACAGCATAGTCGTTGGTGCACATGCACAAAAAGACATGCTCAGTAAAGATCTCATGTAACTAACAATCAGAGCAATGCAGCAGTGGACAAGCAGGCCTCAGTGTAGTGACTTGGAATGAAGAATAGCTGAATGGCTCTAAGGCCCTGGGGAATTCTTGGGCTTCTGAAACCACTGAAAGCCAGGCCTAAGGAGGTGGTATCTTTCTGGCACTGGCACCAGCACTGTCCAACCTCCACTGCCTCAAAGTCCAAGGCGTAGCCACAGCATCGGCCCACAGGCCACCAGCAGATCCTCCTCTCTCCATGAATACTGGGGCCATTCCTCAGCACTTTCCCTCTCCCCACTGAAGTGGCCAGAAATTATGACTTCACACTGCCTGACTCACCAACCGTGCAGCACCCAGATTTCTAGAAATTTTCATTTTGAAAGACATTAAAACTATTGAAGTTTCTCTCCAGAGGCTCTGGTTACTCTGCTTTGGGCCCTTCCTCTACTCCATTTCTATTCATGAGGGTAATGAGAGCTGACTTTGAACATTCCCACAGGCCAGGCAGGGTTGTAAGTGCGTTATTCACTCCCGACAGACAACAATGGCCATTAATGAATGGTTTACCTTGCTTTGCCCATCGGTGTGTATGCTTTGCTTCTGATTGCTCTTCAGTATTATATTTCCTTTGTCAATTATAAAATCACTTCCTGGTTGCTGGAAATACATATCACATTTAGGCCAAGCTGTTGCTAATATCTTAAAAAGAAAAGAAAAGACAGTGTAAGTAAGTAACCATCAAGAATATCAACTCCAGGTAATCATGAGTCTCACCTGAAAACCTCAGGAGTAAGTAAGGCAGATGATATATAATTTTTTGGTTTTCTGTAAATATGAGAAATTTGGGGGGGTTCTTGGTTCTAAGATCGCATGTTGGGGTTTCTTTTTACAGGATGCTATACTAGCAAAATCCTAAGCTGGGGAAACACTCGATTCTTACATGCAGGTTTTATGATGTTTAAAAAAAGGATAAATGCAATGTTTCAATGTTAGATGTCAAGACAAGAGTTGAAAGAACTCAACAACAGGTGTGGCGAAGAAATTCAAACCATTAGTAGATAGTGCAACTGTCGACGCTCTCTAGCCTGGTTGTTCTTGGTTCCTACGGTTGGATTTTGGTCTTGTAAGTTCACGCGAGAGCTCATTTCAGGACAGCCAAACTCCACCAGCCAAAGTAAAGGAGAGAGAACTCTCATTCATGCAACTCTGATCTCCTTGGAACACGAGTGTTCATGGCCTTTTCTTTTTCATCATCTCTTTAGTCATTTAGTGAAAATCTCTAGTTCTGTTTCCCAGTGTTCCCTGCATCCTGGATAAGGGTGTCTCCTTCATCAATGGAAATATTGTTGGTTTTACAAAAAGGATTTTTTTTTATTTTTTAAATTTCAGATTCATATGAGTGTAGAAACAATTTGGATTACGATGTTTGTGTTTGTTAGGAAAGGTCCCTGTTGTTGTGCCCCTCACCCAGGACATGTGTCATATACACGAACATTGGGCCCTTGGGTGAGAAAGCACCGATCCTCTCCCTGCTCCCCCACCCCCACCCCAGCTTGAATTACATAGAGTTTACGAGATTTTTTAATTTTTTAGGCACTGCAGTTGTTTGTCATGAACTTGTACCACGGAGGTCAGCTGTGGCCGGCTTCAGGAACCCAGTTTACTTTAGCATTTCCTAACCCGACCCTCAGCCATGCTCTCTGACCAGCTCCTGGGCCTCTCTGTGGGAAGGACCCTGTGGATGGGCCGTTACTAGGATCATGTCTATTTGTCCTTTTCCTCCACCAGTTGTGTTCATCTTGGAGCACAAAACTACAAATTATTCCACTAATATTATACAGAAAGTATATATTATGGACTTGGCACTTATACTCTATTACATTATATTAAATTCTATGCTACCTTAAATTCAATCAATATTAGTTTGCTGGGACTTTAAACCATGTTTACTCTACAAGTTGTTTGTGTAAGAAAGTAAACCAAAGCTTCCCCAAATGCACAGGAATCACCCGGGTCTCTTATTAAAATGCAGATGTGATTCAGTAGTCCAGGGTGGCCTGAGCTTCTGAGGAGCTCTCAGGTGATACACCATTTCTGGCCTGCAGACCGCATTTTGAGTAGCAAAGATAGTATGTTGCCTTTTGAAGAGCCACCAAGAAAATTAATTATAATTCTTCTTGGTTCTCTAATTAGATTACCAGAACAATTATTCATAAGATTCAGTCTTAGGTTTATGTTCCTTCCTATTTCCATCTGTCACCTATCTTGTCTCTCTGCTACCTCTTCACTTAGATCCTCTCTGCTCCTGTCTAGACGACTGCAGACACTTCCCTCCAACCTGGGCTTCACTTTTGTTAAATTAAGTTTGCTTAAACACTGAGGACGGTCTTGGTGACATGGTTCTCTTGCTCAGAAAGCTTCAGTGAGTTCTCCTTGCGTCAAGTTCAGCCTCCTTAGTAGAAGATTGTAGTTTTATTTTTCAATATTTCTTCCCTATTTAAACTCCCCATTCTAGCTGCGAATATACCTGCATTTTCTCCTCTGAGCTGTTATTCATAAGACTTTGGCTAAATTGTCTTCTCATCTATTCCACCAATTGAAATCCCCTTGTTTTCAAATCCTAGGCCACATTATTCTACCTTTGTGTCAAGCCCATTCACAAGGGATCACTCCTGGCTTTGAAATCCTAATACACTTGTCATATGGCATCGCCCTGTCCGGTGCCATCTTGAGCTATGTAAATGTACTAGCTACAGCAAAACACTCCTGGGACCAAGGGCCGTAACTAATCCCTTTCTGTATTTCCCTTAGCCTGGAGCAAATGGGTGGGCAACATTTTAATGGGTTAAGAGCAAAAGTTTTGAAACCAGGTGCACCTGGATTTCAATCCAGGCCCCCCCCCCGCCCATCAGGTGTATGATTTAGGGCAAATTACTTAACCTTGCTAAGGTTTTCCTTCATCTGGAAACTAGGAGTGATAATGCTAAGGCTGTTTAGAGACGTAAATGAGATAATGTACATAAAGTATAAATTATAGACTATTAAATAAATGAAATAATATTGTATCAAGAGTGACAGCATAGCCAGCATACCGAAAAATTGTTAAATGAATGTGCAAATAATTAAATGGTGCCTAGCTCCAATCTTTTCTAATACAATAAAGATCATGTTAGAATAAAAAGATCATGGCCTAAGAAGAGGAAAAATTATTCACATGATTACCTTGTAAGCACTTGCTATCAATCCCATCTTCAATTTCCTTTCTTTTGTCACAGGTATTACTTTCCAATCTTTTGAGGACATTTACCTTGCCCTTGCCCTACTCTGTGTCCTTGATATTTTTCTTTAAGCCATGGAGGGAGTAATAAAGATTCATGCCACGAGAGACATGACCTGCTAACAAATGAAACCAGCATGGTTTCAGACCCTCTACCCAGAATCCCTGGTTCACAGATGTGTTCACACACCCGATATTATCCCATTTAATTGTTGACAGGACAAATGTCTATTGAGTGTGTGCTGCACCACACAGCAATGCTGAATAAATGTCAAGTGACAGCCCTTCCAGTTCAGAAAATTATGTTTGTTTTACATTTTCTTATCTAAAAATGGGAACTAAATATAAGTACCAATATTCCTTTCCAATAGGTATCTTTTCAGCCTCCATCATAAAGATGTGATATTCAAGACCGTGAAGAATCCAGGCATAGGATCACTTCATTTTGGTTCCACCCCCTGCAGTCATAACTCAGGGAGGGACAGTGAAAATCTCATGCTCTGGCCTCAATTCCCGTCAGCAAAGGAGCAAATTCCAAGCCTCCCAAGGGGCATTTTCATTCATCCTCACCAGCAGGGTCCAGACAGGGAAGAGATTCCAGGAACAACTTGGTCACAGGAACCTGGACTGAGTTCCCCTGTTTTCTATATCTGTCCAAATCCTGCCTCTAGAATAGATTTCCATGTGCTTTGCTCCTTAAAGACTTTAACCTTGACTTACATTTCCTTTGCCATATTCCCGTCTATGGCTGGAGAACCACTACTGAGAACCTACCTTAAATGCCGTGTTCATCTGTTCATTAACAAATATCTATAAAGCTCCTACCACGTATCAGGCACACTGTGCTAGTCACTAGTGCAACAGGGATGAATGCTATACACTCCTCCCCATTCATAGCTAATAGTCTTGGAGGAGATGAAAAAGTAGATGTTCTATAAACATAATTCAGGGCCAGGCATGCTGGCTCATGCCTGTAATTCTAGCACTCTGGGAGGTCAAAGTGGGAGGATTACTTGAGGACAGGAGTTTGGACCAGCCTGTCTGGGCACATAGAGACCCCATCTCTGCAAAAACTAAAAGACTTATCTGGGCACAATGGCACATGCTTGTAGGCCCAGCTGGTCAGGAGGCAGAGGCAGGAGGATCACTTGAAGCCCAGGGATTCAGGCAGTGAGCCATGATCATACCATTCCACTCCAGCCTGGGCAACAGCTGAGATCCATCCCATCTCTGAAAACAACAGCATTTTATCTGTTTTATCTGATGGTTGCATTGAAAGGGCAGGAGTAGAGTCTTTCATTGCAATGTGATCCAATTCACGTTCAAGTGCCAGGCTCAACTGGGAGACAAAAACAACCAAAACACAGACTCTGCCCTCATGTATCTATATAACCTGAAGTTGCAAGAAAAGACACACTCTGATCTGCAGCTGTGGGCGAAATCACTCTTTTCCAGATATGTCAACCATTATCTCAAGTGTCACCGTTTGTCTTTACCGACCGGCCCTGGAGTGCTGTCTGTGGGGGAGTGAACGCACCAGAGGCGCAAGTCCTTGGAGAGGCGCGGCTTCCTCCGCTTCGTACAGGTAGAAGTTCAGGGGAGCAAAGAAGTACCCAGGGGCTGGTTCCACGCAGCTGCGGCCGGCAACGTGTGGGCGGCATGAACACTGCCCGTCCCTGGGGGAGCACCTGAGAGAACACAGTTCATCACAAAAAAATGGAGAGGGGGTGAGTGCAAAATGAGGGTGTCACAGGTTTTGAAAATGAATCCAGCTAGTCACTTCTTTCCCAGCTCTGAAAACTGGGAAAAGGAGAGAATTAGGACCTCTCTTTACAGGATGGCAAAAAGCCTGTGTCTTTGGCAGGCCGAGTCACCTGTGTTCAGGCGTCTATCCCAGCAGCTGGTGGGACACCCAGGCAGGGAGATCTCTACCTCACCTTTAGAAATACCTAAAGTAAAACAAATCAATGGGCTGTAGTTTACACCTTGAGATCTTTATTTTATTTTATGTAGAGATAAGAGTCTTACTCTGTAGCCCTTGGTTGAGAGCTGTGGCATCACCACTCACAGCAACCTCCAGCTCTTGGGCTTAGGTGATTCACTTGCCTCAGTCTTCGAGTAGCTGGGACTACAGGCACCCGCCACAATGCCTGGCTATTTTTTTGTTGCAGTTTGGCCGGGGCCGGGTTTGAACCCGCCACCGTCAGTATATGGGGCTGGCGCCCTAGTCACAGAGCCATAGTTGCTGCCCTACACCTTGAGATCTTTGCTTGTCATGGAATGAAATTCTCTACCAATGACTATGAGCATCTTAGAATAAAATGTGCTTTTGTGTGAAAATAAGGACTATTGCTGTATAATTACATCATTCTCTTTATCGACTTACATGTTAGAATAAGCACCTCCGATATCACAGTCACAGGGAGAACACCCATGGAGATGATTTCCCAGGCCCCAGTATCCAGCCTACAGAGAAAAAAGGCTCAGTTGATTCCAGTTATGAGGATATTTGCTGCTGTGAGGTGTAATACTGAAATCACCACAATACAATTGCCACGTACCAAATGGCCAAACAGTCAGAACTATCACAGCAGCCTGCCTTACCTGCATGTTTGATTAATGATCTCCAGGGACCCATCTCTGATCTCCAGGACTTGAATTAAAGGGGTCTCATGGGTTGTCCAAGCATTGTGTCAAGTGGAAGTGAATGGGAGCTACATGAGTTCTGCTAACAGCATCAGCCTGTGCTCAAGCTGGGTCACGGAAGTCCTCCTGGGAGGAGAAGTTCTTCTACCAGCCTACTTGCATCTGCTTTAATAAGACTGATAGGTCCCCTCACCATAACGATCCCTGGGGACTTTTCATACACAATTCTGAAATGTTTTGGGGTGGAGAAAATCAAGCAAGCTAATTTGGAGATACAGGAATACGTGTATCACAATTTAGTAGAGTCACTTATTTATATATCAGTTGTTTGGCATCATGTGAATCCGTGCGAGAGAAACAACTCTGTGGTTGAAGACTTTCTCATCATTGCAACATCTCAACCTTTATGTAATTCAAACAGCTGGTGAGATACAAACAACTCTTTTTTAAGCCTGATGACATTTAGTCTAAAATGCTCAGAAAGATACATCCTCTTCGAATCTCAAATTTAACCTGCTTAGATAAAATTTAGATTTATTATTATTATTATTTTTAGAGACAGAGTCTCACTTTATTGCCCTTGGTAGAGTGCTGTGGCGTCACAGCTCACAGCAACCTCCAGCTCTTGGGCCTAGGCAATTCTCTTGCCTCAGCCTCCCGAGTAGCTGGGACCACAGGCGCCCACCACAACGCCCGGCTGTTTTTTTGTTGCTGTTTGGCTGAGGCCGGGTTCAAATCTGCCACCCTCAGTATATGGGGCCAGCCCCCTACTCACTAAGCCACAGGTACTACTCCTAAAATTTAGATTTTAATAGGTATATAAAACTCTTATTATCTGTTGTTGTTATCCAGGTAAAATTTTATGCTCTACTCATTAAGGTTAAACATTGATGTCTTTGGACACGATACAGCAAAGGACTTAGGATATCTTTCCCCAAACCAAACTTTGGCTTAAGAAAAAAATGACATGAACTGCCTCCCTCAGGATGTGGCTGTGAAAGCTGCCTCCAGGCCAGGGTCTGCTGTTATGCTGGCCACCGCAGGCTGGATCCGCCCCCCATGGGATGCACCTGCTGGGGGTCTGGGCTCAGCTGGGATGGACAGTTCCCCTTTGGGGTGGGCCCTGCTCAGCTATTTCCCTCCTGCAAGTAAAAGTGAATCTGTATCACACACCAGATAAGCAGCCAGCAGAAAATGTCAGCCTCAGCTGCAGGTCTGTCTGAAATTATCTGACTTGGTGTTTTTGTTGATCCTGTAACCAACTAGAGACCCTTTTTTGGGTTTCACATCCAAGGTCATAGAGACTTGGTGTGGCCAATCGTCCCCTTGTATGTAAAATTTCTCAATTACCTGACCTGTCTTACACAGAGTCCCTTCCTCATGTCTCCTGCCCTCCTTTTCTGCCCCAATCTGTTTTTAGTAAAATGACTTAAAATATTAGCACACAACTATGTCCTTAGACGCATATGTTTCTTATTTATCAGCTACATTTCTTCAGACACATCAAGGTCACTGTTCTTTTATTAGGTTAAGTTTTTATTTTTTCTTCCTCTCCAAAATGTCATGGTGGGCTGCCAAGATTAGAGAACAAAGGAAAGAGCTGGGTTTGAATGTGTCCCCACTGCATGACACATTTCTTATGGAGTGAAACGGTTTCATTTAACTAATTTTAGAACATACATGCTCCGGTGTTTAACGAAGTCTGTGAAAAATCTGAGAGTTTATTTCCCACAGGAATCTAAAATACATTTAAAACTAAGGATTTTTTCTTTTTCTTTAGGAGCTCAACCAAAATATTTTTTAGGTAGAGAATGGTAGGAGGTTGCGTTCAAAACATAGAAGAAAGGTCCTGAGGTCTGGGGGAGCCAACAAAAATGGGCAGATGAATGAGTGTCTATTCCATTGCTGGGCATTTTCAGGAAAGCAATAGTAAACCTATTGGTATCTGTGTCTGGGTTGGTTCAGCCCAATCTAGTGCAGTGCTGGTAAATGTTTAATAGCCAGTTCTCTGCAGGGATGGGGGAGATTGAGGTATATGTTGGCTGATTTCTGTGGTTAAATAGTCACACCACAGGAGTACTGAAGTACAGTAGGACAAGGAAAGAGATTAGCAAGACCTACTCTCTTCTGCACAATGGCAACAGAAATCTGCATCACGACACAGAAGGCAAATTCCAGGCAAATACGCACAGTGCATTCATCGCAGCGGGGCCCGGTGGCGTAGGACTGGCACAAGCACTGGCCTGTATCCATGTCACAGGTGGAGAGTGGCAGGCTCCCAAAGGGGTTACAGTTGCAGGCTGAAAGCACAGCATACACAGTTATTCTCATTCTTAATCCCTCCACTCTTTTACATGTCCTTAATAGGTTACACTATAAGAAAAGTGTAGCCACAAGAGCGCAGCCTGCCCTGCCAGGTTTATTGTCTGCCTGGCTGCATGATGACTGAGCTAGCCACACCCTCACACAGGAACTCCTGGGCCAGACATGTCCAGTCTGATGCAGTTCTGCTGGACGCAATTAGGAGGAGACAAGTAAGTGCAGGAAACTATGCAAGCTGGACACTGGCACTGTGGCCCTCTGATGCTGACAGGTCATGTGACTCTGGGGCAAGAGTTTCTGAGCGTCACAGTTACTACTGACAGCTCCTTTTCTGGCAGCTATTCTTCCTCTCTCTTCTGTCTTTTCTCTTTTACTGGCTTGTTATTATTTCTCCTCATTCTCCACCTCCATTTCCTCCTCTGAGTCCTGCTTACATGGGGAAGGCTAAGAAATTCTGCTGCCAGAGCAGGGTATACCTTTCCCCGAGGGGAAACCAATGTTCATGGAAACAACCAGAATGTCCATCAATGAATGAATGAATGAATGAATGAATACAACATCTAGACAATGGGATATTGTGCAATATAATAACCGAGTACTGATACAAGCTACCACATGGATGAACCTTGAAAGCATTATGCTAAGTGAAGGAAGCCAGACGCGAAAGGCTCCTAGGATTCCATTATATTTGTATATAATGGAAATGTCCATAACAGGCAAATTTGTAGTGACAGAAGGTAAAGTAGTGCCTGCATAGGGCTAGGAGAATGGGATATCAGGGGTGGTAGCTAAAGGGTATGGAGCTTTTTTATTTTTGAAAAAGTAAAATTTACCACCTTAATCATTGTTAAGTAAGTTCAGTTGTGTTAAGTACATTCACATTGTTGTGTAAGCAATCTCTGAAACTCTTTTTATCACACAAAACTAAAACTCCAAACCCATTAAGCAACAGCTCCCATTTCCTCTCCCCTCCAAGCCTTGGCAACCACCATTCTACTGTTTGTCTGTGGTTTCGATTACTTGAGCTACCTCATATAAGGGGGATATATAGCACTTGTCTTTTTGTGACTGCCTTCTTTAACTTAGCATAATGTCCTTAATGTCATCTGTGTTGAAGCCTGGGTCAGATTTCCTTTCTTTCTAAGAATAAATATTTCACTGCTTGTATACGCCACATTTTGCTTTATCCATCACCCGTCAATGGACACGTGGGTGACTTCCACCTTTTGGCTATTGTGAATCATGCTGCTCTGGTGTACAAATACCTATTCAAAACCCTGCTTTTAATTCTTCTGGCAATATACCAGAAGAATATGTTTTGGAGTGAGAAAAATGCTCTAAAATTGGTTATAGTGATGGTTACACAACTTCTAATCTACTAAAAATCTAATTTAAGGGCTAATGGTCTGGTACATGTATCATATCTCAGGAAGGCTGTTCTAAACACACATGCGTGCACCAATGTTCAGCCTCACTTGGAGGACGTCGGGTTAGTCAGTGAAGCTGGAAGAAATGGGGAGTGTGCCAAGGTGTGAGGAGAACTTGGTTTGACTATATAATTCATTCTCATAGTTTTGCCATCAAACCCAAGAAGGAAAAAAGAAAAACAAAACTAAGAAGAGCATTGTATTGGAGCAAGATTCAGCCTGAAGCTCTCTTAACATTCAAATAATCCACACCTCCTTATATGGGCAACCCTATGGAGCACAGTGCTGTGACCATATGAAAATTGTTCACCCAGGTTCCCTGAGGCCCAAGCAGCTCGAATGCCTGTGATCTTATAGCCAAGGGTCTGCCTATTTGGCTTCAGAAAACTGCTGGAGTTTTTTTCTATTTCCGTCCCACCCGGCTCCTCCCTTGGCTCTTTAATTTTTTCTTTTCATTGTCAGACCACATATGGACCAGTACTAGGAGAGGTGTGAGAAGAAAGGGCAAAAGCAATCGGAAGGAATAAAGAGAAACCTCCAGTTGAACATTGCCTAAGAATACATCAATCTTGCAGAAGTGCATAATATAATAAATGAATTTGTGTGTTTAATCCTCATGGGGGTCATCTTTCTAAAGATTTCACAACCTGGCATTAAATTTCTTGGCCTTTCCCCTGTGTTTGTTCCAGGGGAGAAAATACGAACGCCCCCTGCTGGTCCTTTATGATAAACTCAGCAAACCAAGAAGCCAAAGTTCTCCCCTGCTCCACTCTCCACTCTCTAAGATGCAAAGGGCAGTATATCACGTTGATACCCAAAGGCTGGCAGGACTCTTAGGTATTTACAGTTACCCAATTCTAGGGCTGACAGAGACAATCCCAGGTTTTAAAGCACATCAGAGTTGGCAGCCCAGCCCTGTAAACTTACGCTGACAGCCCAGGGGGTCAGAGGCACTCAGGCCAAAGTGGTGGGGCTTGCACTGGTCACAATTGGCTCCTTCCACATTCTCTTTACACAGGCACTGGCCAAGCACAGACCCCGATGTGGGATCAGAGTGGCTCACACAGATGCCACCAGATATGGTCCCATCAGGGTCACATTCACAAGCTGAGAAGACAGATACACATTGTCTAGTTAGTTGTAAATCCTGGGAAGCCTAAAATATAAGCATAGCATTTTATGTACACTGTAACTGTCTCACTTTGTTTAAATAAGTAAATATGTTTAAATAATTAGACCAACAGACAAGGGCTGTTTGGAAATGTATCCCAGATTTCTGGCCTTGGAAAATGTTGAATAACTCCATACATATATATATTTTAAAAGACTTTTAGCTGATTCTAAAGCCCAGGGACCAGAGGAAGGCTGCTATTATGAAAATTGACTGTTAGGAATAGAATAATTCTTTGGGGGATGATGAAATGTTTTGGAACAAGATAGATGTGGTGGTTACATGATGTTGTGCCAGTGAATTATTGTTCATTTTAAAATGGTTAATTTTTATATAAGTTCTACCTAGAAATACATTGAAATAAAGAAAAAGACTCTAAAGGTGAAAATAAGACCAGTAGACAAATAAGAGTAGGATGTGTAATGACAGTCATCTCATTACAGGGCTGTGAGAGAGAAGGAGGAATCACAGAAAATGTCTATCAAATCTCTGAAACAGTCAGAAGGGAAGTCTTGCCTTCTCTATCCCAGGAAAATACATCACAAGGAAAAGTGACATTTTTTTTTTTTGAGCCTTCCTGAAAGGAACATGTGTAAGAAAGAAAGGGAAGGAACAGTAAGAAGTGTTTATATCCTTGTTTACTTTTTGGAATCCTGCTGGTGAGGTGAAAGCTAGGATGAAGTTTTAAGTAGAAATTTGAACAAGTCAAGGAAGGGATGTCATATGAAAAGGAATGCTGAGAGTATGACTACTTCCCAAGGGGAGAACAAGAACTACAGCAGCAGTCCCCAACCTTTTGGGCACCAGGACTGGTTTTTCCATGGACTGGCAGGGTAGGGTGGCATGGACACCATAGGGAGCGCACAGCTTAGATCCCCTGCGTGTGAACTCTACGGTAGAGTTTGTGCTCCTATGAAAATCTAATGCTGCCAGGGATCTGAAAGGAGGTGGAACTCGGGCCATGATGCCAGCACGGGGAGTGGCTGTAAATACAGACAAAACTTCACACGCTCGCCCACTGCAAACCTCTTGCTGCGTGGCCCGGTTTCTAACAGAAGCTACTGGTCTATGGCCCTGAGATTTTATATGAGAATGTTAATCAACCGTCTTAACAGATGTGGTCTGTATACACAAACATGTCTAGGGAGCCTGGGGGAATTGGGGAGTCTTGTGACCATAGTTTGCTGCAAGCTCCTCATCTGTGTTTTATGAAAAAAGGCCTTGTTTATCAAGTATGACTTCTTAATTCATATCAGGGGTATCAGTTTTCTTTTCTTGGATTCTTTCAAAAGCACTAACAAGTTAATATTAAATAGTTGTTAGAAAATAAGACTTAGGTTGATTCGTTCAAAACATTTTGAATAAATGTTCCAAATCTCTTTCCAGATTCCTAGATTATCTGTCTCAAGGGGTAGCCTGCCAGATGCTGAAATGGCATTTGTGACTTTGGTATAGACGGCAAATGTGTTGGTGGGCATTAGATGACCACCAAGTTAAGGAATGCAATAAACATAAAAAAGGAGTATCCTGAAAAAAAAGGAGTATCCTGATTTTAAGGAACAATCATCTTCACATTTATACATGTTACTTCGGATTGCTAAAAACAAAACGTGCAAGTCTAAAACTATGTCAATGTAACAACCATTTGTGTCAGAGAGTTTAGTGGAAAAATATCCAGTCACACCAGTTGTTTGGTGTCTGACAGAATCTTTCAAGTTTCAATTGCTTGTCACTAGTTTATGACTAGTGATAAAATCTTACTATGGAAAAACAGCATCGGGTTCTGTTTAGTTTGGAAAAGCCATGATTTTCTTCTAATTAAATCCAGTCGCTTCCAGTAAGAAGGAAATAAACTGGATTCATTTGAGAAGTTCCCCAAAAGAAAAAGCTCAGCTTTATTTGGGAGGTATTCCAAAGGATCGGTATTGAGTCCCAGAGCATAATTTAATTATGCACAGAAGTCTCCTCTGGGAAATGGATGTGGGAGGGCAGATAGTAACTTTATTTCAAAATAAGTAGAAGTAAACTTTTATCAGGCCTTTACAAGTCCAATAAAACCTATGTCACGGCCTTTTGAAGTCCAATAAAACCTCTTGGTGTCACATAACTTAATTCCAATAAACTTTTGTTATCAATGGTTGGGCTCACAAATCTTTGTTTTTCTGTATCAATTTTAATTGTCTTAATTGTAGAAAATTTGAAATTAGACAACTCTCATGCCTGGAATCTGTTCATGTAAATATTTAGAGTCAAACAAGGACAATTTAGAAAAAACTTATATGAGAATGTTAATGTTCTTAACACATGTGGTCTGTGTACACAAACATGTTTAGGTAGCCTGGGGGAACCTGGGAGTCTTCTGATCATAGTTTGTTGCAAGCTCATCTGCCTTTTATGAAAAAAGTTCCTTGTTTACAAAGTATGACTTCTTAATTCATATCAGGGGCACTAGTTTTCTTTCCTTGGATTCCCTCAAAAGCACTATCAAGTTAATAGTAAGAGGTTCTTAAAAAATAAGACTTAGATTGACTTATTCAAAACATTTTGAACAAACGTTCCAAATCTCTTTTCCAGATTCCTAGATTATCTGTCTCAAAACATCATATTTTTCTGACTCTACCCAAGAGAGCAATTTCAACTTCTTTTATAAGTACATAGCTTTTAAAACAATAAAAAATGTTGGCCAGGAGTGGTGGCTCACGCCTATTATTTCAGCACTTTGGGAGGCCAAGTCAGGAAGACAGCTTGAGGCTAGGAGTTTGAGACTAACCTGAGCAGTACAGCAAGACATCTTCAAGAAATAAATTAAAAATAATTATGTGGGCATAGTGGCATGCACCTATAGTCCCAGCTACCTGGGAGGTTGAAGCAGGAGGATTGATTGAGCTTAGGAGTTTGAGGTTGCTGTGAGCTATGATCACAACTTGTATTCCAGCCTAGACAACAAAGCAAGACCCCGTCTCTAAAAACAAAAAAAGAACAAAAACCAAAAAAACAATAAAAGGTGTGTATGATTACAGATTCTGCAGGTTCTGGTAAAAATTAGAGGATGCTTAGGGAATTGCTCTAAAGAAACATATTTTTCTGAGAATTCAGGGTTTTTTCTTTTTTAAATAGAGTTTCACTATGTTGCCCAAGCTAAAGCATCATTTCATCAGCCTAGTTCACAGCAACCTCAAACTCCTGGGTTCAAGCCTGCCTCAGCCTCTTGAGCAGCTGAGACTACAGGCACCTGCTACCATGCCCAGCTAATTTTTCCTATTTTTCTTAGAGATGGGGTCTCACTCTTGCTCAGGTTGATCTCAGACTACTAAGCTCAAGGAATCCACCCATCTTGGTTTCCCAGAGTGTTAGGTTTACAGGTATGATCCACCACACCTGGCCTGAGAATCCAGTTCTTAATATTAACTCTGAATAGGTCATGTAAGGTGAATTTTATGCAGTCAGATACCTACTAAGTAATATGAACAAAAACACTTTATTGATACTTCTTCTATATTGTGATCATTTAAACATTGAAATCTAGAACACTGTATTCAGATGGCTACTAAATTACATTTTATAAGACTTAGTTTCATGTTATCATTATATAACATTTGAAGTTACACTTTTTTTATAGCAGACACCCCCTGCCCCACTTTAGCATTATATTATTTATGTAGCCTAAGCAGTAGGATCCCCAGATATGGGAAGAAGCAATCCTCTAAGGGTGCTGGGTGCCTGAGTGTTCTTGCTGAGTGCAGAATGTGAAAGGCCCCGTTTGCTCCTTACCCAGGCCATTTCTCATATGCAAAACACTGTGCTTGCATTAACTTACTAGGTGTGCAGTAGCTACATGTATACTTTTGTCAGCCCCCTGGAACTTGGGGACCTGGGAACCCAGGCCATTACAATGATCTTTTTGCTTGGTGTACCATTAGTTATAAAGTCCTTGTCTTTGGCCCAGGTGTTTCATGTCTTCTGCCAGTATCCATGAAACAGGAACAGGCTAATTTGTTAGTCTGCAAGTAGAACAAAATCTCAGACGTGAGTTATGACACTGGGTATTTGAAATCAGGTAGGATTATTTTTCTAGGTGATAATACATAGCAGAGATGAGACTACAGTGAGCTAACAAGGTTCCTAGGGTACAAAATTTAAGGACGCACTGGCAGGTTTGTGCCTTGCATTTCCATAACCCTGACAGTGAGGCCTTAAAATTTGAGACCCAAATACTTTCTTTGCCTCACTCTAGTCTTAATCCTGAAGGGAAATGCAAATTAAAATAACGATGAGATATGATTTAATTAGCAAAAATGAAAATGTGACAAAACCAAGATTAGCAATAACTGAAGTTTGACTAAACCAAGTGTTAGCAAGGATAAGGAGTCACAGGAACTCTCATCCACCATTGGTGTGAGTGGTAATCAGCATACCCACTTAGGGGACAATTCAGTTTTAGCTCATCACTTCACAGAAATCCATACCCCATGGCCTAGAAATTATACTCCTGGGTACATCTCTTAGGGACAGTTTTTACACGTGTCCAAGGTCACATATACAAAAATGTTTATTGCAGCATCAGAACAAAAATGGACAAGTACATTTTATCATGTTTATAGGAAGGAATTCTATGCAGAAATTTAATGGAAGAATTAGGGCTATTTGATATGGACAAATCTCAAAAATAGAAAGTTTAACGAAATACCAAGTTGCTGAAGGATACACACAACATGGCATTCTTGGCCTAGAGTTTGAAAACATGTCAACATAGGTGTAATGTTTGGCATAAAAACATGCATGAAAGCGTCAAAGAAGCATGGCAATGATAACTGCCAGATAGATGAGAGTCTTCACCCCTGGCAAGAAGAGTAGACCCAGGGGGCGGACGTGCACCTGCTACTTCAATAGTGCCTGTCTTGCTTTATTAAAGAACGTCCTGCAGGCAATAGGCTAAGATGTTAAGTTTGGCAAAACGGCCAGTAGATACAGGGTGTTTATTATATTGTTTGTATATGGTTGTATATGGGTGTATATTATATTAGTTTGTATATGGTTGAAATATTTCATTTTTAAAAGCTGAGGTTAAAGATAGGAGATTTTTAAAAGATTTTGTGCTTGTAGTTTTGTTTTTAGAGCAAGTTAAAGACAGTCTAACAGCAAAGCTCAGCGGTGGACAGCCAGTTAAATGCTAGCCTATCTCCCTACTTTAGTTACTTCGCCAGCTGACTTCCCTGATACTCAGGATGTCAGCGGCCTCTTCCGAAACCATCCCTTCCTCCTGGGGAAATCCAGAATGATTTCCCAGAATGATTCACCAGTACCAGCCCTCCGCCCGGCCCCTGCCAGACTGCAGGAACAGCGGTGGGGTATCTGGATGGCCCATTTGCAGCCAGCCTTGTTGCCATCCTGCCCTCCTCCGTCAGCAGGGGGCCGCCGGCAGGTATGAGGCCCTACAGTGATGGGCTCAGACAGGGGCACTCACCGGCGCACGCGTGAGGATCCGAGGCGGCCCTGCGGGGGTCCCGGTAGAAGCCCGGCCTGCAGCGGTCGCAGTGCTGGCCCTCCGTGTGGTGCCCGCAGTCCTCGCACACGCCCCCGCTGCGGCTGCCGCTCGCCAGGTACGCGCTCAGGTCGAAGTGACAGCGGTCCGAGTGGCCGTTACACCTACACGCTGGGAAAGGACAGGAGAGTTACCCAGAGGTGTGCCCAGGCTCGGGGCCAGGTCACACACTCGCTCATCCTCGGCCACCTCCCGCCACTCTGTACTGGCACTAGGGGCACAAAGATCCTTCCAGCTCTGATTCTGCTTATACACGTTCTAAAATGTGTCCCCGAAACCTTTATCATTAGGTAGCTTTTAAAATCAGGTGAACACCACCAACAACAAACCTCAGGTGCTCTAGGAGAAGGCAGGAGCGCAGTACTTGGGTGGTGCTGGGGAAAGAGTACGCCCACCCGCCTATGTCTTGATATCCCAGTTTTAAAGATTTGCAGGAATGATTTGCTTGCACTGGGACTGTCAGATAAAATGTCAGCCTCTCTCCTTCCCTGGGGCTGCAGGCCGCTCACTCTCCTCTGGGGCTCAGCCAGAGAAGCCAGGCAAAGGCCGTCTGTTTGGAGACCTTTGTTTGTCTTTGTGGTCATGTCTATGGCTCTGCTGTTTGCCTTACTGGTTTTCTCCCTGTAAACAGACTAAGGCCCAGCTGCATTTTGCCGAGTCTCCTACGCTGTGACTCTCACGCAGGGGGGTTTTCATTAGTGCTCCTCTAGAGATCTTGCATTCCCTCAACTCCTATTTTTCCTGAGTCTGGGAAAAGAAACAGAATATCAGGTTTGTTAGGAAGTTCATCAGAATTCAAAGGCAGCAACCATGTTACTCAAAACATAAACATCTTGGCGGCGCCCGTAGCTCAGTGGTTAGGATGTTGGCCACATACACCCAGGCTGGCCGGCTCCAACCCAGCCTGGCCTGCTAAACAACAAGGACAACTGCAATAAAAAATAGCCGGGCATTGTGGCCGGCACCTGTAGTCCCAGCTACTTGGGAAGCTGAGGCAAAAGAATCACATACGCCCAAGAATTTGAGGTTGCTGTGAGCTGTGACGCCAGAGCACTCTACTGAGGGCAACGTAGTGAGACTCTGTCTCAAAAAACAAACAAACAAATGAAAAAAAAGAGTAAACATCGTATTAGCCTAAATATTTTGTTAAAAAATACAGTAGCCTATCAACTCCATCCTAGACTCTCTTTTTCCTACTATCCTATGGACGGGTTATGGTCATGGAAGGTGTTATTAATCAGGAAGGTAATAGGGATCTCTGTGCCAAATCTAGTGTCCACCAAATCCTTGAAGTTGCGCCGTTGCCGCTGATATTGCCATTGTGTGGCTTTGCCCCTCCGCTGGAAGGGTGCCACACAGCATTCAAACTGCTTCTTTTTAAAAGAGAATGTTAATTTGTGGTATGAGAGTTTGAGAAGTTGGTGATTCTCTCATGTGAGATGGTGGGAGACATTATCACAGCTAGGAAGCTGTGGAGCTAGAAGCCACAAATTCACTACTTTGCTGTCTAAATGTTCTTCAAAATAAGGCGCTGCAGAGCGCACTTGGTTCACGCAGAGAACTTCTTTTCACCTACGTCTGCAAGCGTTGTCCTGGAGGCCTGCGGCTGGCCTCCAAGGGGCATCCTGGAAGAAGTCCTTGCATCGCTCACAGTTCCGACCGTCTGTGTTGTGCTGACAGACACACCAACCATGAACCTGCGTTGTGCAATAAATGCAGAGTTCAGCGAGGGCTTATCTTTGGGCAAGTTGGGGCTCTTTACATGGAAATTGAATCCCAGGTCATGGGACCTCTCTCATTCTTAGTTTCCCAAATGTGCATTATGATACCAACCTTGACTATCTTCTATTATTATTTGCTTAACTAGCTTTTAAATTTTTTAAAGTTTGATAAGTTCAGTGAATAATAACATAATATTTTTTGACATTTCTGAATTCTCATTTCAGGGCAGCACATTGTAGCCCTCGATCAAGTGAGGGACAGGATGGAGAGGGGGGTTTTGTGTGGGTGGGGAGTCTAAAAGGGCTGGTTTAGGAGTATACATGAAAACACGGAGGTAGAACAGGGGGAAAAAAGCTGAAGAAAGGCATGGGATTCTTTTGGTTTTTCACAAAAGGCTGAAAATAGCCCTCATTCAAAGAGAGAAACTATTTCCGCTGAAATATAGAGGTAGTGGAATGGGGAGGCACAGTAACATCAACATCAAGCCTTATGTGATTATGCCTTATCAGTAGTTTGAATTGATTTAGTAGGGCTCTGCATAAAAACACAATTCTTCTGCAACACTAATCTTTCAAGGCTACTCCTCAAAATGAGAGAGATCTGCAGTAGTAAGACACAGGTATTCACAGTGTAAGAATATTACTGGGATTGACCATTTTTATAATATCCCATATTGAGGAAACACCTTAGCATTGTGGATAGGGGCTTGTAAACAATGGCCCATCAATAATTTTTGTGAGAGAATGAACGTGAAATTATAGTTCCTTCTCATCAGATTTCTGTTCTCTACAAAACAAGAAAAAGAAGGCAAAGTGAAGTATCTTGAAATCACAAATTATAAATTCTGCTCATTAGTTCAATGATGTCCATCTGAGGGAGAATCCACACAGGGGCTGGGAACCTGTGACCTCAGGGCCACCTGTGGCCTTCTGTATCCCTGAGTGCCTTTAGAAGGAATCCAAATTTTACAGAGGAATTTTAATAAAGGGAATTTTTTTCTGTGAAGTTTGGATTTGGTCAAGGGGCCACATTTGGGGATCTGGAGGGTCACATGTGGCCTTCAAGCATAGTTCTCCACCCCAATACCAGGACAGTGAAAGGCAGGTAGTCAACTGCTTATTTTGGATTCACCACTCGCCATTTCAGGAGGGCTGAAAACATCTCCCCGCATCTGCTGCGTAGGGCCACATTCACTAGCGTGGCCATTGCAAAAACAGCTTCCTCGAACAACCATCTCATACAGAGCATAGTAGTATTTATCAAGGGAATCATCTTGTCTCCTTCCAAGCTCGTCCCCAAGGGTATGGAGTTTGGTAAAGTTTATCCTCAGGTTTGTCAATGTCACAAGATCTAGACAAAGGAAAATAATGAAAATAATAAATCGAAGTACATTTCAGCTGTGTCGGTTCAAGGCTGCCTTCTTGACTGATAGCCTCTTACTGCCTATGGAAATGCAATTACAGAGCAAGATGCTGCCTAGAGGTGCCTGGCACTTGTACCATCCCCCACCCCCTAAGAAAGAACCAAAGCAATGAATAAACACCTAAGATGGACTGGAGAGTGGAAGGGAGAGTGCTGGAGTACAGTAGGGAAATCAGGATGCATCTGTGGGTACTGGAAGCCCAGGAGGGCAGCATGCAGAATGAATGCACCCAGCCTCTGTAGGCCTATCTTCTCAGCCCAGATTGGACTGACCTAGACAAAAGAGAAACTTTACACCAGGGAAAAAGTGAGAAGTACCACAAACCCCAATTGTTACTGCAAACACCAACAGTCCTTACAGGAGGAGAATCCCATAGACCTTGAAAGCCCTGAAACCATTTTAGAGAGCTAGGAACTCATGCAGCTGTGTTGTTCCAGATTAGAAACACAAGATGTACACTCCCCAGTCCCCATCCACCCCCCATGACTGAAGATGCTGCAGCTTGGGCCATCTTGAGACCACAATCACCTCTGACATGCATCCTCCTCTGGGGGGCCAGTAGCCACTGCACCTGTCCAGCACTGGGGTTCCATCTTCATTATGCCAAGCCCATGTGGGTGGCTGAATGCAATAATATCAGCTATGCAAAGCCGGGCCCAGGATTGGCTGTGACCCTCATTCTATAGAGTAGGGAAATCACCTCTTGCCACCTTCACTTCCAGTTGGAGGAATAGTCTGGTGGTCCCACTGAGGGCAAACCTACTCTTGAGCCAGCCAAAATGCTGCATGCCCTCCCCTGAGCAGGAGAGGCATTCAACCATCCAAGCAGCTGGCACACTCCCAGGTTGGCAAAGTGGTTACACACCCATGCCCATGGCCTGAGAAGCAGCCGACAGTGTCCCATCCCTTGCAGACAAGCCTCTGCCTGGCCTAATAGCCCTGTACCCACAACCAGGCCTGATAACAGACACTCCACCACGCTGGCTAAGCAACTGTATGTGGTGTGTGCTATTGCCTAGAGTAACAGAGCAGAAATAAATTAAATTGGAAAAAAAATCAAAGGTTAATGAAATAAAAAACTGAGTTTTTAGAAAGATACATAAAAATAACAAACCATTAACTAGATAAGAAAAAGAAAGACCCAAATAAGTAAAATCAGAAACAAAAAAGGAAATTTCACAACAGATACCACAGAAATACAAAGAATCATTAAAGCAGAGTTTTTCAACCTTTTTTATCTCATGACACACTTGAACACATAATTAAATTTCTGCAGCACACTTAAATTATGTTGATCAACAAAAGAGTAAAAAAAGGAGTACACTTAATGTGCTTTGAAATTCTTTAGAAAATAATTTAATTGCGGATCTTTAAAAATTTTCACAGCACACCTAAGACCCTCTCATAGCACACTGGTTGAAAATCAGAGCATCAGAGACTACTATGAACAAGTGTATGTTAGTACATTTGAAAACTTAGAGGAAATGGATAAACACCTGTACACATACAACCTGCTGAGACTGAACCAAGAAGAAACAGAAAACTTGAACAGACCAATAACAAGTGATGAGATCAAGTCAGTACTGAAAAGTCTCCTACCAAAGGGAAATCCAGGAGGAGAGGGCTTCACCACTGAATTCTATAGAATCTTAAAAGAATACCAATTCTTCTCAAATGATTCTAAAAAGTTGAAGTGGAGGAAATGCTTCCTGGCTCATTCTACAAGGCCAATATAATCTTGATACCAAAATCAGACAAAGATACAACAACAACAACAACATCAACAAAAAGAAAGAAGAAAAGAAAACTATATGCCAAGATCTCTGATGAACCTAGATGCAAAAATTCTCACAAATAACTAGCAAAATGAATTCAACAATACATCAAAAATATAATACACCAGGATCAAGTTGAGATTTATTCCAGGAATGCAAGGATGGCTTAACATATACAAATCAATAAATAGGGCACATCATATCAACAGAATGAAGGGCAAAAATCATATAATCATCTCAATAGATGCTGAAAAGAATTTGATAAA